TCGTTTCTTCTTTTCCTGTCTCTTCCTTTCCCACTTAAGCCACTAAATTTGCTTGCATCAGCTGCCAACTTTAATTATCGAGTTTTGGGCTATAATCTTGGGTTATGATCTCCTGATTCACTATTTTTTATTACTTGTGTTCCACAATTTGTAATAATAATATCCTTTGACGCATTCTTGTTGCATTCTGTAATAGAAGACGGTACTTGATTCCTTATTAGTGTACCTAACTGACGCTTACAAGTTATCCGTCTCTTCGGCACAACCTTATTTTTCTCGACTGCTGATATGCTTGTTGATTTTACTCCATATTGCATTCAATACTTCTTTCGTTTATAGGCTTATCCATCGTTCACTGGCGCCTGTTAAACAGTTGTGTCTGTTGTTTCGATATCTGTTTCTGTTTTTAAATTGCTAAGTATGATATTCTTGCTTGGGCAACCTCATTTTTTTACTGTTTTCCTCATTTTGTTTAATTTTTTGTTCATTTCTATTTTTTTCGTGGATTCAGAGTCTTCTTTACCGTCAGTTTAACCGTCTACTCTTATGTTGTATTTGTTTTCATTCCATCCATCAAAATTTTGTTTTTTCTTCTATTTTTTCTTATATAAATCTTCTAAATCTGGATACATAATTTTTACTTTTTGGTACTTCCCTAAATACGTAGTTCACGCACGGGTTGCTCGTGTTTTAAAGATCCGCGCTGGAGGTCCATCACTATTGGCTTGTTCTTCTTTTTTCCGTTCGTCCACCAGCTAATACAATTTTCGAAGTGATCGTTCGGTATTTATTTCTCCCTCCCCTATTACTGAATACCGAAAGAGTGCGTTTGGCGCTTTGTTTGAAATTGCCTGGTTGATATACTATGCTTAACTAGTAGCCTCGCAGCTCAGCCTGTTAAACCGTATGTTGGGTTTCTTTAAAGTATTATAGTGTTTGACAAGCCTATACATGTAATGACCGTTAATTTTTCCTGAATAAATACAGCCTAAAGTGTTCTTTCACAAACACTACGGCTAAAAGTTCCTCATCATAGGTAGGATAGGGTAGTTTACTCCCTTGAATGCAATGTGAGGCGTACTCACACGTTCGATCTTTTCCAATTTTTCCTTGACTAAGTATTATCCCTATTGAGTAATTAGACGCCTCTGATGTTACTATAAACGGTATTTATAAATCAGGTACTATGAGTACGGGCTCTTTACATAGTGCGTTAACAAGCTTATTAAACACGAGATCCCGCTGCTTTTCCCATTTAAACTCTGTTCCTTTTTTCAAGAGTTTACAGAGTGGCTTCACAATTTTTGCATAATTCTGAATAAATTGTCTATAATAGCCAACAAATCCAAGATATTGTCTAATTTTTTTTGCATTTGTGGGTCTTAAGTACTACCTCACTGCTTCAATTATTTTTGGGTCCGTTTTTGTTTTCCCACCTCCGACAATATAACCCAGAACCACTGCTTCTATTTTTAGAAGTTGACATTTTTTTGGCTCAATCGTTAAACTGGCCTCTATAAGATGGTTCAACAGTCGTATAAAACCATTTTCGTGCTCTTTACATGTTGATGCAAATACCATAGTATTATTTAAATACACCTCAATTTCGTGTCCTTGTAGGCCTCCCGAGGCATGGCTCATTGCTCTCAAATAAGTTTTTGGAGAGTCCTTGTGCATCTCACTGGAATCCTATTATACTAATAGTTATCGTCAGGGCTGAAAAATTCTGTCTTATGTGCATCAGCCTCACGTATTTCTATTTGAAAAAGTCCTTGTTTTTAATCTACTACTGTGATACAACGAGTGCATGCTTTGGCACTATCCACATATTTAAGTTGTATGGCAACTTAAATACAGATAGATACCTATATCGCTTTGCTGTTACTCTGTTGTTGTCTTAATGCGATGTTTAAATATATAAGTAGCCCTTAGTGATTTACCCTCTAGGCCAAATATAAACAGGCTGGGCCCTATAAGCATCTAAACGTGTGACTTTTTTTCTTTATCACGGCTCAAAATGTCAATTAACTGCATTACTTTTTCAACTCACGCTAATTTTTTTTTATTTAATAAGCTATCTACATGATCAGCCTGCATAAAGTCACAATTTTTTTGTCTTTTCCATGACCATCTGTTACGCTACGTGTAACCTTGCTCAGTTACTTATTCTCATGACTACGCATTGCAAAAAGTATGATCATTATCTTGTTAGAGCTCTAAGCGTTTTCACCTTCTTGGATTTTTGTTATCATCTTTAATGTAGACATATTTCACTTTTCTTGATCTGGCAAGAATTTTGAAAATATTTCATTCAATGAAATTTGACTAAACAATGAAAGCTGTGAACAAACGTTTTAATTTTTTCTCTTAAAGATGTATGACATTTTCAGCAATTCATCTTCTGTGGTATATAATAAGCCTATTGTACACTATGAGATTTATACATCTACAATGTCATCAATAACATGTAATAATAGCAATGGATTTTGTGTTATAATTCAACATCAAGACCTATGCTTTTTACCTTCTTGCATTTCTTACATATTTACGGAATATTAGTGAAAGCAGATGGTTCAGCGATGGCTGCAAATATTGAATTAGTAAGCAGTATCATCCTTCTTACATTGAAAAAAATAAAATACAAGACAAACGCTATACAGATAAATAAGTGTAAAAATGTTGTTTTAACAACTCCTATTAAAAACTGACTGACGTAACAGACTCATCAAGACGTATTGGCTGAAAATGCTAGTTGGCTCGGTCCTTTACATAAACTTAATCTTACAAACAACAATGGTTTCTTCAATTTCTTGATTTTTTTTAGTAAGACCTCAGGTTTTACTAAAAACAATTGTAAAATACTTGTTAATGTAAAACATTAACTCATACTTACAAGATTTAGGAATAATTTGACGTCAGGGAAATTCCTACTGGAAAACCTAATAGGGTTGCAACTTAGAAAAATTTCGTGACATTCATATTAAAACAAGGAAACACTTGAGTAGTGGCTGTCCATATACGGTTAGAGGGAGAGAAACTTTCCCTGCATTTAGTATGTTCTGGCATTATTCTACTTTATTCATTATGTATGAATTCACAGTGTTTATAGTGTCAGCTAGAACAATCTGATTGGAACGATAATACTAACATACATTGAGATTTTTTATAACATTAGCCAATGGCATCTAAGTCTTATTTAAGTACAGGTTATGTAGTAGGTTGTGAGGGTAAATCATTTTTACCAGAGTTAGTCTTTTGTGCAGGAAAAAAATCTTAGTAATGAGTTAAGACAGAAAAAAGTAACAATTGCAAATCCAAATACTTTTTTCATGTTATAGCTCTATGGGCACGTTTTGTCCCCAGATTAAATCAACGATTTAAGATCAGTGATCTTGAGAAAAAGTGTAATGGAAGTGGACGTTTTCTTCCTTCGTAATATTTCCTTTGTAATTAAGATGATTTTTTGACTTAAGAACGTTTATCACATTGTTACTGGGGAAAAAGTTTAGTTTAAAATTTAGATAGGTGGGAGAAGCACAAATATATGCAGCAACAGTGAAAATTATTTTTCTCATATGGATGATTTTACCTATACGCTTTTACGCTTTTACGCATACTCGACCCCTTTTCTTTTGTGTTATAAGAAAAAAAAAGAAAATACTAGATCTATTTAAAAATAAAGCGGGTTCATTTAAAAGTCATTTTTTATACAAAAAATAATTAGGGGTTTATACAGATCTAATAAATGTAATTTTCAGTGTTTTTCTATATCGTTACATGTTCAATTGCGAATTTTTAAAATTCAACAAGTGAAAAAGGGTACAGTTAAACGACCTGCGATCTTTTTGAATATTTCTTATGGTATTTTTGGTACATTTTTAATGCTTAAGTAATATCTGTAAAAAAAACCTATGTGTGATAAACGTCCTGAAGGGACATTCTTTGGCATGTACTACTTTGCTATTGAAAAAAGCGATACTGCAGGATGATTTGTCTTAATTTTTGAGATACAATTAAATTTGGGTATTAAATATGGACTAGAAAAAAGTATGTGAACGTATGTTACAGATGTAAGGGTGACGTTAGACATGTAATCATCGTAGGTAGTAAGAAATTGTTTTGAAATCATCAGAAAATTCGACGAAATAGCATAAGCTTATACTGCCCAGCCTCCATGTATACGTTTGTATTAAATTAGGCTATAATATAATGCTTATATCAAATTGGAAATAAAATATTAAAATATTTATTGAAATCACTCGCAACTAACGTAGGTGTACTTATTCCAACGATAATTGCACAACCTTTGTGTGCAGTATCGTTTCATGGAAGGTATATTTATAATTATATTCTCTGCCATATAATTTTATAGAAGTATAACTTCTCACTTGGGTATCGAAGCACCCACTGTCCATGGGTTTCTTTACTTAAGACTAGTTTAGATTGATTAATGTACTATAATAGGAACCTTTATTCCAAAAATGTAAATTACAATAATTATGAGCAGACAGTTACAACAACCCTGACTTGTGTGTGTAAGCAATGATGGAACTGCTATGATTAGATTTGAAGATGGTTGACACTACCTAAATATATTAGAGAGACTTTTCTGCAGCAGCAATAATATTGGTAAAGCTTAGGGTAGTTTTTCTTATAACATGGATATACTATATATTATGGTTATTCCTAATGTCTAGCATATAACATGTTTTCATTATCTTATAACAATTTTCAATTATTCCCCAATTTTTACTATTGTAAGAGCATTTCTTAATTGCTATTTTTCTTAGAGCATTTTCAAACTAGTTCCACATTTCTCATAGCAACGAAGTGTTCACTTATCTTATCCAAAATGCGTGCTTTAGGAAATAGAAGTTTTCTCACTTCTTAAAGTACTGATTAGAAAGTAAAAATCAGTACATTAATAACCATCGTATGACAAAAAAATAATTAATTTAAAATGTGTTTTCAAGATGTTAAGAATCTTTTATATGTTTCAGTTATCGATGGTCGTGGTATAATACGTGAATCACAACCTATTTCTGGAATAGCAAGTAAGTAAATTTTTATATACTAAAACTTTTAGTTATATTATTAAACTATTAGTTTAAATTTGAAATAATTGATTATTACCATAAAAACATAAGGTATTTTATATAATAATGGCCTTAAGGATGACTGTGGTATCATAAATGTAAAGATGATATTTTTTAAATGTTATTGTAGTGGTTAGCACGGTAACCTTAGAGGTGGTAGTTCTGAACACAAATTACATCTGGATCGTAGGTTTTAAAAGTAACTTGTCAAAATGCTGACATCATCCTAGAAGCTTTTTCCACATGGTCTTGATATATTTTTATACTTATCAATAATTTTTTTTCTTCTAATAATTAAATTATGTGTTTTTAAGATTATTATTTAATAGCTCTAAGAATGTATTTACTAAAGGAGAAAGTATATGACCATATATCAGTATGACATAAATAGTTTTTTAAATATTCTTCTTACTATGCACAGCATTTACTTTATTAGTAACTGTTATTTATAACTTGTTTAAGTGAGAGATGAGACTTGTCAATAATTTAGAAAATAATTCCTTATAAAGCAAGCAAGTGTACCACATAGGAAAACCGGTCTCTGACCAGAATTTTTCATACACATATTTATCTATCCTGTTGCTAATTAGCTTCAAGAAACTTTTACTAGTGCCATCTACATGAAGTAAGATTACGATTACTCTCAAACAAAATTTAAGCCCATACCTGATAATTTTAGTAATACATTAAGATACTTTAAGAGAGAAATACAAAAGAAAATATTAATTTTTATGGAAGACCAGAATAATAGTAACAAATACGTACGTTTATTAGGTGAGTAATGTGAGAAAGAGGCAAACTATATGTGTAAAAAAACTATGGGTCATAGGACCCATGGAAAAAGCAAAGCTCGATTGAGGTTTTGTATAAACAAAATCGTTTTTTCGAATTATATTATTTCTTCATGATTTCTTATGAACATTATTTTATGTAAACAAAACATTATTTATTAATTTTTCTTTGTAAGTGTATTTTATTATTGACACTAAAAATTGATTTTGGCCCTTAACAGTAGTAACTATAGGCTTGTGGCCCGAAATATCTAAAATATAAATCAGTTATTCGACTTTATCTAAATACCGAGCAAAGATGGCATCAATCATTGTTTCGTTGTTAGTGGTAAGTTGCAGTGAATTGTTAGTCATACTTAATTCAAATTTTTCTTCTAAAAAATTAATTAATTTTGTTGACAGAAGTATAAGGTGATATATTGATTGTGACAGTAATTATCTCTTCGTCTCTTCGCATAAGGCATTTACATTCACAAATTTCTCCTACTGAACTTCTATCAAAATTAGCACTTTTTACATTTGAAATGCATACATTTTGTAAGAACTCAAATTTCCGCACCATTTGGTAACGCGTCACGTGGTTACATATTTTTTTTTATATTTTATCATTAACATTTCTACTCGACCCGTTTAATTTTAAAGTTTCTTGAGTCTAATTTTACTCTTAAACATTCGTGCCATCATCTGTGACGTCACTCGGTTCGTAATAATTTCCAGATAGGAAATTAAAATTAGGGAGTGGTCAAGCCAAAGTTGGCTGCCAAGATCTTAAAATTGGTCTGAGCTTGGCAGTGAAACGGCTTTCTGCTCAGAACGCGACTTGGCCTGACTTATCTTGACTTCTCCCAAGTTACTACCAGAGTTTTTTTGCATATGTATATAATATGTATAGTATATAAAACTCTTCGACATTTTCGTGCTGCACACCTATACATATTATAAACATGCGTGAACGAAAATTGGCAATAGCTTAGGAGCAGTCAAGCCACGTAAGGCAAAATCGCACCCTGACCAGCGTGCCGTTTCACAGCCAAGCTTAAATCAATATTGGTTACCGGTATTAGGTACAACGATTAAGCTTGGTAGCTTGATTTCTGTTCCAATCGGATTTTTTCAATGTTTTAGACGAATCACGTATTATTATTCTCTACAAAAGATGCAGGTACCAGGCCACAAGCTTTCTTTGCTTTTCTTCCAAGCTATCGGTGGTCTTAAAACTTTCAGGATATGGGGCCAAATCCTCTGTCTCTCACTCTGAGGTCACCCATGTTTCCATAGCTGAGTAAGTACAAGCCCTGTACTCGTGGCACAGTTAGGTGACAGTGACTTTGTATGTTTAAAAACCTGTCGACAGGGCAAATCTTACTGAATTTTTTATTTTCTTTTTTGCAAATTACTTAAAAAGTTGCAAACTTTAGTGTACCACTGTAGCTTTTATGACATTACGTGACCTAACCTCAAAAAAGCTTTTTTTTATGTTATAGCCAAACAAAGCCTGTGTCTAAAGAATTAATTTATTGACCATTATAATTATAAAACTTTATTAACGAAAAAGACGATTAATAATACAAACTTTTAAGTAGAGTTTAAGCCACTTTAGTACCTCATTTTATTTCTAACCTTAAGAATAGAAAAATTTAGTACTATGTCTGTTTTTAAAGCTTTCTAATATATAAGAAAATTTTTGAATTTAAACAATCCATTTTTAGGTGCAAAAAGTCATTATTGTTCCTCAGTGTTTCTAACTTTGACATTTAGCACATTCACTTTATCTACGTCATAACATTATTCTTTCAAACCTAAAGTCGATCAAATGACTAGTAAAACAATATCTTAGCAGCCAATAAGTCGATTTCTTAGATACACGTTTCTTCAGCTATAACAATACAGTAAGCTTTTTTGAGATTACGTTACGTTACGTCATAAAAGTTGCACAAGTACACTAAAGCTTAGATCTTAGGTGGTTATTTAAAAAAAAAAAGTCAAAATTCATTAAGATTTGCATTGTTGACAAATTTTCAAACACAAAAAGTCAATGTTGTCCCACTGAGTCCTGCTCTTTTGCTCGCATGCACCACTGTAATGCCTCCATTCTTGATTGAGACATGTGCTCTTTAAACCCTAATTAAACTGTGCAAGCACAGTCCCAGTTTTTATCTAATGATACAGTTGTAAGTCTGTTCTTTGCTTTATTATAGTTAGTAACTGTAGTTTGTATAGATATAAAGCTGTCCCTACTAATAAAGATACAAGGCTGTCCTCTACTTTGCACGTACGAGGTTACTCTAGCAAACTTATTTAAAACTTTCACCCAGCACGCTTACCTGTATCTTGCAGGAAGTCTTAAATGGGAGCCAACAAGGTTAATAAACACCAGCGGAGAAGAACTAAGATGTAACGGACACAGTTTATTTCAGTTGACGAAATTTTTTAGTACAGTTGAATATACGAAAACGTATGTCATTCAACTAGGTCCAAAGTGTCATGTAAAGAAAGCTGGAGCAAAGGAGCTTATGCATTGAGACAAACCACAAAAGATACTGGTTAAGTGTCGGTAAAAAATATTTTTGTCATAGAAGTAAGAAGCTGGTACTAGCCTAAGTTGTTGCAAGTATAATTCAAAACGTTTTAAAAAAGCCGTGGTCTTCTGGACAATATTTGGTTAAGAAAAATTTACTTGGTAAATAAAGAATTTTGCTGTAGAGATACTCAGTCAAAAAAGCTCTGAAATTCTCTTTGTAGACAGAGTAGAGTGCAAGATCATGGTAGGGCATTTTTATACCCAGTCAACAGACTTGTCAGACCATAGAACTGTCTTTTAAACGTGATGCTACCTTTTTTAGGTTCCGTGCAAGATGGTAGGAAGTTCTTTTGATGCATTCTTCTTCAAAGAGTTGTACTAGGCCGTTGAATAGAGCAGACTTGAACTGTTAGCCTCTGCCTGTAGTGATCAATTAAGGATAGTCAAATGATAATTTAGGATAGTACGAATTCCATCTTTTATACAAAGCCTGAAAGTATATTTAATCTTACCCACGTGAGCGATACACCTTGTATCTGGGATAGACGCTTCAGTCACTACCATAAGCTGCCTCAACTATTGATTGCCCATTCCAGATCCAACCATTTGGTGATAGTTTTCATAATACTAGTGTTCATCGGGACCACAAGGAGACGTGCCTGCTGGCTTCTACCTGGAATCTCATCAGTGGTTATAATACGGGCTGATGCACCAATCCCTGATGGTCAAGCCCTCCAAGCGTCTTTTACCCTTCTTTGACTGACATTTTTTTACACTTGGTACTCAGCCTGTCTGAGCCATGCTATTCAGCTGTGGTTCTTGAATAAGATACTGGCTCCATACAACTATGGTGTACATCAGGCGACACATGATTTTTATTGGCAGTAATGCAACTGCTGTTATTCAACATTAGCCAACAGCCTGTTCAATGAGGCTTTCTTGTCTACGTTCCCATTCAAAAACAGCTTCAGAAAGCGCAAAAGTCTGTCTAAAGACTAGCATTTTTGAGGCAACGCTCGCCTTTGTTGTCACAGTATTTCTACAGCAGACATTCAAATTTGGTTCTCAACCTGCCAGACGGGATCCATCTCATATTAGTTTTAAATTGATTTTTTATTTCTGTCATCATTACACTACGGTATACATGATACACCGTATTATACTTATTTTGTACACGCGTATATATACATAACATATACACAGCACAACGATGAAATTGAATTCCAGCAGGTTATATTATCAGATAAGTGGTAGCACCAAGTATTTTTCTATTCAGCTTCCTTCAGCTAACTTTTTGGGCCATTGTTCAAGAACATGGTTGTTAGTCTCTTGTCTCAGACAATGTGCTCAAAACATTTACTTACCAGGCTAGCTTCTTGTAGAGTTAGGATCTAGTTTTTATGACAAGCCACGTAGTCTTTACTGGTGAGAAGTGTCATTTTATCGGCTACCCATTCATGTCACTCTGGTACTCCATTATTTTAGGAGTCATTGGAAGATTTAAAATATTTATTTTGATACGATTCTTTCCAAAGTCTATTCGCGAATCACCAAGCTTGTACATTGCATTTTCTTTTTGTACTCCATACTTTGAATGTAATAAATCTTTCTGAATTTCATCAAGTATTTGTAAAAAAAAATTACTT